CCGGCGCTTCCCGAGCCTCTGGAATGTTTACAACCCTGCCTTTCCTTTYGCATTCCAGCCGCCTCCAGAGCCACCTCCTTCCCAGGATTTTGCACATCAGCGGGAAAAGCGATTCGGTGCAGCTGGGCTGGGACAGCGTTGAAAAACTGGGAGGAAAATCGGAAAACAGGGAACAATCCAGCTGGGTGTGTTGGAAACACGGATTGTGCCAGCGCTGAGTCATTCCCTCTGGCTGGGAATGACATTTGGGAATGGCAGCAAACCCCGATTGGCTCCGCGCAAGGTGGAGCTGGAGAAGCCGGAGCCAGSCGAGATCCCGCTTTAACCCCATCCTTGGTTTTTGCTGCTTGGGGGAATTTGAGAAGGATTGGAAGTTTGGATTGTGCCACAAATGGAGGAATTCCAGTAGGAGGGTGAGGGAAAACAGGCAGGAAATTTCGTGGGATGAGCAAACAGCTTCAAGAGGGAGAAAATCAATATTTAATAACAGAGTCTAGTGCTTCTCTGACTCTGCTCCAGGAAAAAAAAAAGAAAAAAAAAAAAAAAAAAAAAGTGGATGTTTGGATACACTTTCATTTATCCACATGTGGGATGTCCTAAACATTCCAAAGAGCAATGGAATTCCCCAAATCCTCCATCCCAGATCCCAGAGCCTTTTCCAGACCTACCCATTCCCATTCTTGGGATCATGAGACTGGATCTGAAAGTGCTTCCTTTGGGATTCTCCCCCAGGCACCACATGGGAATTTAAGGGATCATTTTGCATCTCCTGCTCCCTGTTTTAGGTGAAAATAGGGAAGTCTGTTCTCCATAGCTCCCATGGGCAAGGAAAACCTTTTTTCCATGGGGAATCCCAACTTATGAAAAAAAAAAAAAARGTCTCAAATRTCCTAAAAATGTTCCCTTCTTTTGGCCTTCCCACAAGGAACAGATGCCCAAATCCTGGGAAAAAAAACACTCAGGAATTCCCTGTCCTTTGGAAATTCTCCATTTCCTTTGTATTTTGTGGCAGACTTTTTCCCAATTTTCCTATCCTTATGTGATCCCTGCTTGGGGAGGTGGGTTGGAATTCCCTAAGAGCAGAAGGAGCTGCCCCATTCCCTAATGGCTCATCCTGGATGATCAGGATACAGCAGGAAATTTGGGAATAACAGGGAATTTCTCAGACATGCAGTGTTTCCTCCACTCTGGCTTCTCCAAGCTCCAAATCCTAGCGCAGCCCTTCYGGCTGGGTTGGACTGTTTGGAGAAACCCCGGAGTTTATTTGTGTGGCCACAGGGTGTGTGCACTTTCCAGGTGTCCTGGTGGCATTCCAACATTAATATCCCGAAATCTCCTGCTGGAATAAAAAGCAGGGAATTTGGGTCAGGGTTTTATGTTCRTCCTCTCCTTCACCTTCCCCCCTGCTGTTGCAGACCTCACCCAGAAATATTCCTTGGAGAATATCCCAGTGGGAGGAGGGATCCATCCACGTGGAAGCCTCTGACTTAATTCCCTTTTTTCCTAAATTCTCTCCATCTGGAGCAGAGGTTGTTTCCACCCCACATTCCTGCCCTGGACCACCCAGGACAGCACAGTCAGCAATTCCAAGGCTCTGAACACTTGGAAAAATGAAAGAATAATAAAAGAAAATCCCTTAGACGACATAAGAAGAGGGAAAAGATCTGTTGGGATGAGGATTTTCCYCAGGATGGTTGTCCTGTTGTCATTGGGATCTGAGGGGCTTTTCCTTCTTGACGGAAACAAATCCAAGCTCATAGGGAGCTCTATTTTGGCTTCCAGAGCCATGATTCCCACGTTTCCAGCTGCTATCCAGTCTAATATTCCAGCTTTGGTTCAGTCCTTCCACTTCCAGGAGGAAAGAGTTTAGGATGAGTGCTCTATTTACATCCCGAAGGAATTTCAAAGCATGGATCTGCTGGTGTCCAGTGGAGTTTCTCATCCCTGGAATCCCAGTGACCATTTCTAAATGGAAATGGAATTCCTGGAAACACAAAGTGGGCTGGAAAAAAAGGGCCAAAACCCCAGGGATCACATCCTGATTTGACCTCCAGCAGTATCCTTGGAGCAGCTAAAACCACCTGGAGCAGTTCCCTCCCACCTGGCAGGGACTCCACAGAGCTCCTGGAACTTTATCTGGACACAGCTTGGATTTTATCTGGAGAGAAACTGAATTCCTGGATTTGCTCCAGGTTGTTTTGAACATCCCTCCTCCTCCAGCTTTAGCCTGGAAGTTGCTCCAACGTTGGAAAAACGTGGACAAAAAAGCAGATAAAGGGAGAGAAGGATGGAAAATGCCAGCCTGGAATCTGGACTCTAAGGAACAAAGTCCCTCCTCCTAAGAAAAGGAGGAAAATACCTGGAAGGGACGGGATATTTGGGATGAAAACTGCTCCATCCTTTCCTCATTTCCATTTAGGTGGGCGTTCAGCCACTCCATGAAAAAAAAAAACCAAAAAAACCAAAACATGGAATGGTTTCAGTTGGAAGGGACCTTAATTCCTCATCTAATTCCATGGGCAGGGACCCTTCCCACTATCCAGGTGCTCCAGGCTCCATCCAAGCTGTCCTTGGACACTTCCAGGGATGGGGCAGCCACAGCTTCTCTGAGAATCTGTCCCAGGGCCTCCCCAGCCTCCCAGGGAAGGATTTATTCCCAGTATTCCATCTAAACCTCCCTGTCAGTTGGCAGCCATTCCCCTTTCTCTTGTCACTCCATCCCTTGGAAATATTCTCTCCCTATTTTTTCTTCACTGCTTCAGCTCCTGGAATGCCACAATGCCATCATCCTGAAACTTCTCCAGGCCGAGACATCCCAATTATCCCAATTTTTCCTCACAGCAGAGCTGCTCCATCCCTCTGATTATTCCAGTGCCTCCTCTGGATTTGCTCCAACAGCTCCACATCCTTCCCATGCTGGGAGCCAGAGCTGGATCCAAGATTCCAGGTGGGATCTCTCTGGAGCAGAGGAGCAGGGGTATGAAAAYCTAAACAAAGCCACGTCCTTTTCCAGGCACTTGGAATTCTGTTCCCATTAAAYCCCTGCCAATTCCTTCTCTACATTGCCCAAATTCCCAACATTTCATGCCATAAAAGCTCCCCCATTCCAAGTGCCTTCCCAAGCCTTCCCAACCCTCAGTTCTGTGTCCTCGGGAYGTCTCCAGAGGAAACTGAGTTCCTCCAATTCTTTTGCAGCACAGGTGTCCCCGGCTCCAGCTCCATTGTCTCTCATCCCAGTCCTGGGATTTGCCACTGCTGATGTCATAAATTCCATGCCCGTTTCCTTCTTTAATCTCGGAGCAACATTTTTTAACCAATTCCTGATTTTTTTTTTTAGTTGGTTTTAATTAATACTGTTGGATATTCCCTTCAGCAGGAATTCTGCTCTCCAGGAGATTGCTGGGATTGGGTTATTATGGAAAACAGGGAGGGTTATGGATGTGTTCAGCCAGGGGGAGTTGAGAAAGAAAATCCTTTTAGAGTTTGGAGCCATTTTCAATGGGAAGATCCAAGAAAAATTAAGGAGTGTGGAAGATTTTATAAAAATAAAAGAAGAACAATGCCCCAAAATATTCCCACATAAGCTTGCAACATGGAGATGTCTCTAAAAAGTGATGGTAGGGAGGTTTTCTATTGATGAAACTCTTGGATACAGGGATATTCAATTTTTTTTCTGAAAAAAAAAAAAATATCATAAAGTCACTGGAAAAAAGGTTTTGCTTTATTTTTGCAAATATTCCATGCATTTTCCATGTTCCTGAACAAGCTGTCCTTCCCTGGGACAGGATTCCTGACTAGATTTCCTATATGTCCTAATAAAGAGCATTCCCCCAATTCCTTAATTTTCCTGGAATTAGTTCAACTTTGCACTTATAAATTATATTTAAATATTTTGGGATTTTTCCCAGTTTGGGAATATCCAGAGGACCTGTAATAAGAAATGCCCTGTTTTTCTCCAGGAAAACTTGTTTGGATAAAAAAGTTGGTTTGGGTTGTGGAAAGAAGTTGTTGGTTGGAAAATTGTGGGATCAGCTGGGAAGATACCATCCATGTTTTTCCAGYAGTAGAGACCTGTCCTGGGCTGGCAGCAGGGAAGCTTTTGTGCTGAGCTCAATTATTCCAGTCAAAACCAATCCTCCCCATTTCTGAAATTCTGGATAAATCCAATCTGGAATGGTGTCAAGATGTTTTTTCTTCCCCCCAGTTTTTCCCAACTCCAGGAAGTTGTCCCAAAATGCTTCTGTTTCGGAGCATTGGCTGTGGATCCCTGAACCTTCACTCTGGGAGATTCCAGAAGATAACCCAGCAGCCAGGGCTTTCCCAGGAATGCTGTACATGAACAGGTCTGGGAATAATCYACTGTTTCTATTAGGATTTTTGGCAACTTTTTTATTTAGGAGGGAAGTGAATGAGGGGATTCCCGGTTTTGCTTCTTCCTTTGGATCAAAGCCATTCCCTGAGGAATTCCAAACATACCTAACCCCAAAAATCCTGGAATGGGCAGTGAAGCCGTGGCTGTGCCAAGCAGGAAAAGATTCCACAGACTTCCAGGGCAAGGGGTTAAATCCGGAATTTGCTGCTGCCACATGGAAGCTCCAGGGGCAGATCCTGGGAATACAGGAAGGGAACTGGGATCAGCCAAGTTGTTACCACGGAGCATCCCGGCATCAAGGCCTGGAACAACCTGCTCTCGTGGATTGTCCCTGCCCTGCTCATGGTTGAGCTTTTGCAGCCCAAACCTGGAATTCCATGAGGAATCYTCATCCATGGAATGCCAGGGCAGCACTGCCTGAGCTGTGCTCAGGATGGCATCCGAGCCCAGCTGAAGCTTGGCTCCATCCTGGTATTCCCAGGACCTTCCCACGACCCAGCTCCTATTTCAGGGCTCTTCCATCTATTTAAAGAAAGGGAAAAATGTGCTGGAATCATTGCGCGTGCGCTGGAGAGGCCGCGCCAAATATTCCCTCGTTTTTAGAGGCCGATATCCACGGATCCCACGGCTTTTTAGCCGGGATGTTTTCCTTCCCCTTTTAGCAACACGTGCTTGAAAACTGCCGGCCCCTATTAGGGCTTGGAAAACTCGGCTGCTGGCTGAAGGGAGTAAATCAAATTCTTGGAGGAAGAAAAAAAGAAAAGCAGGAACACTACAAAAAAAAAGCAGGAACGCGGCGTGTTTTCCCCACAACTTTGGGATGGGAGCGAGCAGCCGGGGGGGAAAGGGAAGCCAGGGAGCCCAACAAGCGGCCGGAGCCGCTCCATGCTACAGGAAGCCGTGGCCTCCGGTGATAAATAGGGAAGCCGGGAGCACAGGATGTGTTTGGGGAGAGCTCGGCGGAACACCGGGATGTGAGCGCCGTCCGTGACTCCTCCGTCCCTCTGTCCATTTGTCCGGCRGGATGGCCACGCTCCGGCCGCTGCTCCTGCTGCTGCTGCTGCGGGCGCGGGGATGCGGAGCGGAGRACGCGGAGGTGCTGTGCGCCGACAGCGCCTGCTACACCCTGCACCGGGATATGAGCAGCTGGAAAARCGCCCAGGAGCGCTGCCGGGATAACGGGGGCAACCTGGCCCCGGTGGGCAGYGCCGGCGAGGCCGCTCGGCTGCGGGAGCTGCTGGACGCTGCCCGCTGGTCCGAGCCGGCCTGGATCGGGCTCAGCCTGCCCAGGGGTCACTGCGTCCAGCCGCAGGAGCCGCTCCGAGGCTTCTCCTGGGTGGCCGGAGGGGAGCCGGGCGACTTCTCCGAGTGGGCATCCGAGCCGGCGGACACCTGCGTGAGCGCCCGCTGTGTCACCCTGCGGCCCCCCGGCCCCCACGGGCCCGGCGGCTGGGCCGACCGTCCGTGCCGCAGCCCGCTCCCGGCTTTCCTCTGCAAGTTCAGCTTCCAGGGAATGTGCGGGCTCCTGCCGCTGGCCGGGCCCGGCACGGTCACCTACTCCACGCCGTTCGGGGTGCGCAGCTCCCGCCTGGCCGCCGCTCCCTTCGGGACGCTGGCCGAGGTGGAGTGCGACGGCGGCGGGGGCTCGGCCTTCGCGCTGTGCAAGGGAGCGCTGGACGGGGGTGGCTTCGCCTGGCACCCGCCGGGCCCGCTGTGCCCTGTCACCTGCGGCCACCAGAACGGCGGCTGCCAGCAGCTCTGCCTGCACGGGCCCGGCGGGGCCCCGCGCTGCGCCTGCCACCCCGGCTTCGTGCTGGCYGCCGACATGGCCTCCTGCATTCCCRAGGATTCCTGCCATCCCAACCCCTGCCAGGGAACCTGCCGGACCCTRCCCGGCGGCTTCGAGTGCGGCTGCGAGCCCGGGTACAGCCTGGCACCGGACGGACGCGGRTGCTTGGATGTGGATGAATGCGAGTCCGGGCCGTGCCAGCACCGGTGCCGCAACATTCCCGGCGGCTTCCAGTGCCTCTGCCACCCTGGCTACCGCCCCGCGGGGCCCGATGGCCTCCACTGCCACGACGTGGACGAGTGTGCCGAGCCCCACGCGTGCCCTCAGCTCTGCATCAACATTCCCGGCTCCTTCCGCTGCGCCTGCCGGCCCGGCTTCCAGCGGCAGCCGGGAGGAGATTCCTGCCTGGATGTAGACGAGTGCCTGCGGGATCTGTGTCCCGGCGCCTGCCGCAACTTCCCCGGCGGCTACGAGTGCCTGTGCCCGCCTGGCTCCATGCGGGATGCGGGTGGGCACGGCTGCATCCCCGGAGGGGCGATCCCAAACAGCATCCCACAGAGCTCCAGCATCCCACAGAGCACCGGGATCGCACAGACCTCCAGCGTCCCGCAGACTTCCAGCATCCCACAGAGCACCGGGATCCCACAGAGCACCAGGATCCCACAGAGCACGGGTATCCCACAGACCTCTGGCCACCCACGCACCGCCGGTATCATCCCACGGACCACCAGCATCCCACGGACTCTGGGAATGCCCACCGTGGGATCGGGCGCCGGCTCGGACGAGCACAGCGCCGACGGCCCGCGGCTGCTGCTGTACTACATCGTGGGCAGCCTGGTGGCCATCCTGCTCCTGGTGGCGTTTGCCCTGGCCCTCGTGGCCTGCAGGAGAAGGGCGGCCCGGAGGGAGAAGCCGCCGGCCAAGAATGCGGCCGATAATTATTGCTGGGTGCCYGAGCAGCCCGAGAGCCGCGGGGAGYGCAGGTAGGAGGGGGTTAAAAGTCCAAATGAAAGGGTGGAGGGAATGCTGTGTGTCCAAAGGGAGCTCCTCTGGCTGTTCCAGTGGGATTCACAGTCCTGCCGCTCCAAGGGGTTAACGGGAGGGGGAGGGAACAGGGTGGAATTTGCCTCCTCAGCTCTGCAGAACCTCCAAAAGGCAAATTGGATTTATTGGATCGTGCTCCTAAAGGAAAACTGCTCATTTGGGGTTCTCAACCCCTCCTCACCCCTCCATCATGGCTGCATACCAGCTGGGATTTGCCTCGTTCTCCTGGAAAAGGGTTTGAAATTGGGATGTGAAAAAGTTTGAAATTCTCCTGGAAAAGGGTTTGGAATTGGGCCATGCATCAGCAGAGTGAGAACAGCCCCCTGCAGGCACAACCAGGGTGGGGTTTAAGGGTTTATTTTGGGGGTTTTATTAAAAATCTGTTGCTTAAACCCACGGAAAACTGCTCAGCACAGAGCCAAGGAATGGCATAAAGGTAGGAAAAGCTGTGTTTGGAATAACCACATCCTCATTTCCAGAGTATCCTGCCTAAATCTACTTTTAAACAGAGAAAACAATGCCCTCCTTCCCATCAGCCGCATGGGAGGCTGGCCTTTTCCTGTTGAATCTTTTTTTTGGGGGAAGGATCCTTCCTGGCTCCAGGCTGAGCATATTTTCCCTCTTTGCCTGTGTAAAGAACACGCTGGGATTGGAATATTAGATCATCATGGGTAAAACTTGTAACTCCCCAAAAACTCTCCAGGCCAAGTTGGTCCCCAGGTACTTCCCCAAATTTCTTGGGCCTCTTCCAGCTGTTGCCAGCAGGAATTCTCCCCAAAATCCTGAGGGGCACACCCAGCAGCACCTCCTCCTTGGTCTATCCATGCTCTGAAGGGTTGGAAAAGAATAGCCATGGGATTTGAAGCAGCTTCCCAAAGTTTCTGTCGGAATTATGGGTCCTTGGATCCGAATTGCTACAGAAATGGGAATGGAACACAAAGGAGTTTGCAGTGGGCAGGGACCTGCATCCTGTCATTCCATGTGTGGAGGAAAACCCTTTCCTGCTTTTTTCTTGTCTTCGGGGCTCCATTGTGAGCTGAAAACAGGAAAATGGAGCTGATAGGAATGTTTTCCATGTGCTGCCTGGGTTAGGAGAAAACGGGGAATGCAGCAGCAAGATTCTTGGAAATCCTGCTGAAAAGTTCCTCCCCAAGCCAGCAAAGCATTGGGAATACCTGGATTAATTAAACCACTGAATTATCCCATCCAATTATGCTGGTTTGGGATCTGTGGGAAAAGACAGCCTTGAGTTTTTTATGGGATATAATGCTGTAAAAAAGGGAAAAGGAAAGATAAGGGTGGAGTTAGACCTGGGAAAAAACTGAGATGTGTTGTTTATTCCCAAAAAAATTATAATCCCGATTTCTGTTACAACCTCTGTGTATTCCAGTGGGGAATGACGATGGATTAAGCCTAGGGAAGACTTGCATTCATGCCAAGGTTTAGTTTGGATTCTCCCTGGTGGAGTATTTCCTGCTGTAGCATCCTCCCTTCCGGTGCAATTCCACCTGGATCCAACCTCATGTCTCCCATTTTTCCTACCACAACCTTTTGATCCATGTCCTCCTTAGAAAGTTACCCAGGGACTGGTGAATCCCACAAACCAGTGCCTTGTCTTCCACAGGAGATGGGATATTCATCCTGCTCCTTGGAATTGTTTTTGTCATGGATGGGTGTTTTGTTTTCCCAGAGTGAAACTCTTGGATTCACAGGATAAAGTTATCCCAATGATGCTTTCTGGATGCAATTCCAAGAAAACCAGAACAAAAATGTGTTTGCTGTGGGTTTTAATAAAGATATTCCTAAAAATGGTTTGGTGCTCCTAATGCTTGTGTATTCCCTTGGTGGTGGGTGGTGATCCCAAATCCTTTCCTGGGGTTTGTCCCATGGTCTCAGCCTTTTCTCGGATCTGTGGTCCTAAGCAGGGGCCATTCCCTTCCATCCCTGCCAAGGCCATGGGGTGGAAGCACTGGGATGGGCTGGGTTGGATCCTAAACCACGAGGAAGGTCCTAAACCCTCAAACAGCATCTTAAACCCATGAGCAGGGTTCCAAACCCATGAGCAAGGTCCTAAATCCATAACAAAGATTCTAAACCCAGAGGCAAGGTCCTAAACCCATGAGGAAGATACTAAASCCATAAACAAGCACCTAAACCCACAAGCAGGGTCCCAGCCCATAAAAAAGGTCCCAACTCCATGAGCATGGTCCAAAATCCATGAGCAAGATCCTAATCCGATGACCAAGTTCCTAAAACTGGGAGGAAAGCCCCAAACCCACGAGGAAGGCCCTCAACCCACGGTTGGTCCTAAGACCATGACCAAGTTCCTGAAACCATGACCAAGTTCCTGAACCATGACCAAGTTCCTAATTCCACAACCAAGGTCCTTGATTCCATGACCAAGGACCCAATCCCATGACCAAGGTCCTAATTCCATGACCAAAGCCCTAATTCCATGACCAAGATTCCAAATCCATGAGCAATCCCTTTAATTTCAGCCCAGCTCTGTGTGAGGGCTTTTTTGGGGGGTCAGATAATAAGATCGTCCCCTTTCTGATCCTATTATCCCATGATATTTCATATTATCTTACATTCCACTGCTTTCTATTCCCTCATGGATAACTGCCAGCATTCCAGCAGAGGAACCTCATCCCAAAACCCCGCAAAGAAGCCAAAAATCCCCCCCTGTTGACACAAAATCCCGGATCCAGGGGTCAGGCTAAGCATTYCAAGTGCCCGCTCGGAGCAGGGTGACAGGGACAGCTGAGATGAGTCAGAGCCAAAGGGAACAGCCTCTTCTGCAGGGCAAGCATGATTAATGGGATTTTGGGGAAAGGAAAAGCAGCCTATCAGCAGGAAGGGCAGCGCTGGCACCCTGAGTCAGCCCTCGGAGCAGCGGGATAGAAAGGGGATTATTAAACCATGATTAATACCGTTCCTCCCACCCTGTCCCGATTATCTTTTAGGGACAAATGTGAGTGGGGCAAGGCCAACGGAGTGGGATCATTGTTTGGGAGGGCTCTGTTTTTTCCTGGAAATATYTCACAGCCTTGAAAAAGAATTTTTTTATCTGGTTTTGCAGTTGCTGAAAACAAAATAACAGCAGAATCAGAAATTTATTGGTTTTTTTTTCCCTTTTCACCACATTTCATTTTCCTTCTTTTCCTGTGGTTTGCCTTGGTGTTCCTTTTCTCTGGAAAACAGAAGAAATGAAAGGAGAAGTGGGAGAAGAATTGAAAATAATGAAATGAAAATTGTGGGAACAACAGGTGTTCCTAAAACCAGGAAAGGGCAGAGTTATCCTGCTCTCCAGGAGTTTCTTGGGAATGATCCTGCTTGGAGGAATTCTTTGTCCCAAGTTCCCCCACACTTTCTCCTTGAGGTTCATCCCTGCCACTGGAATTAAACCCCCTGGACATTTCTTTCCCAAACATGTGGCAGAGCTTCAAGGGGATGAATGAAGGTAATAACATTATGATTATTATTATGATTATTTTTATTATTATTGTTATTATTATTATTATTATTATTTYCYCCAACTTCCCTTTTCCATGCAGCCTCACGGAATTTACAGGAAGCACTCGGGGTTGAAAGAGGACAAAACAAACCCCAAGAGTTTAAGAAATGACAAAGTTTAGTGAAGTTCAATGAAGTTCAATAAAGTCCAATAAAGTTTAATAAAGAAACTTCCTTGCCATGATCCGAGGAAATTGGGATTTGCTGCTCWTCCCAAAGGCTGATTGCAGTGACTGAGGCTGTTCGAATTCCATTTAAAAAAGGGCCCAAATCCCCTTTCTGTGGAGTGGAGAAGCTTGGGATGTTTGGGTTGCATTTTCAGGTTGCTCCTGGCTCTTTTCTGGCAGCACAGGAGGATCCCCCAAGGATAAACTCATGGAATAGAACATCCATTCACAAGTGTCCGTGGGGAAAAGGGTCATAATAGTGCTTAATAATAATAATAAATTTAAATTTAAAATAATTAAACAATATAAATTATATACAGTTATAGATAAGATATATAATTATATGTTAATTTGTTATTATTGTTTTAATGATTTATTAAGGGAATTTTTCCTAATCCAGCCTAAACGGTTTCCTTTCACCCTCTTCCTTATTCCCTGGGAGCAGATCCTRATTCCACCTGGCTCCACCCTCCTGGCAGGGATTGTGGAGAGGGAAAAGRTCCCCCCGGAGTCCCCTCTTCCCCAAACTGAGCCCCTTTCCCGGCTCCCTCCTGGTGTTGCAGACCCTTCCCAGTTCCATTCCCATCTCTGGACACTCTCCAGCCTCTCTTCTTTCCATGCTGGATGCAGAGCTGGACACAGGATTTGAGCTGTGACCTCCCTCCCCCGTGTCAGCACGGGGTTACGGGCACTGCCCCGGTCCTGCTGCCGCACCGTGGCGGCAACTGGGTGACATCCCAGTGTGGTGGTGATCCCAGCGGGGTCACAATTCTCACCGTCGCTGCTCGCACCCCGAGGCTCCCTCCTGTGAAATCCCGCTGCGGTTTCCCCCTTTGCCCAAGGATCACCCCGTTATTCCCGGCTCCCGGGCGGGATGCCCTGGCTGCTCCGGCCCCCCCGCGCTGCCGGGCGGGCCCCGCCGGGGCGGAGCCGCCGGGAGGATGCGGGAGGGGACCCGGGGGCGGGGGGAGCGCCTGGCCGGGATTCACCGCCGCAATCACCGCCGGCCCCCGAGGCGCTTCCTTCCCCCGCCGGGGCCGCTATAAAGGGGGCGGCCGTGAGGAGCGGCCCATGCACAGCTCGGCGGCGCCGCCGGCCGCCCCCTCCGCGGGCCATGCGGCCGCTGCTGCCGCTGCTGCTGCTCGCGACGGTGGCGCTGGGACAGCCGGGGGAGCCGTCGCTGTCCCCCGCGGGCGCGCAGTGCGTGGAGCATGAGTGTTTCGCCGTGTTCTGGGGCTCCCGGCCCTTTTCTGCCGCCAGCGATGTGTGCGAGCGGGGCGGGGGGCACCTCATGACCGTGCGCTCCACCGTGGCCGAGGAGGCGATCGCGCTGCTGCTGCAGAACCGCGAGGGGCGGCTCTGGCTCGGGCTGTCGCTGTCGCCCTCCTTGTCCTGCACCGAGCCCTCCCGGCGGCTCCGCGGATTCCGCTGGGTCACCGGCGACCGCGGCACCGATTACACCAACTGGGCGCCGTCGGGGCGGCGCTGCGGCGAGCGCTGCGTGACCGTGTCCCGGGAGCTGCGCTGGGAGGTGCGGCGCTGCGAAGAGGCGGCCGACGGCTTCCTCTGCCAGTACAGCTACGGCGACAGCTGTCCCCGCCTGGCCGCCCCGCACGGGGTCTCCGTCACCTACGCCACCCCTTTCGGCGCYCGCGGAACGGAGTTCCTGGCGCTGCCTCCGCGCAGCGTGGTTTTCGTCCCTGATTTAGGGCTGGAGCTGCGCTGCGACGAGGACGGGGACGGAGCGGGGTCGCGCTGGGGCCGCGACACTCCGGGAGCGTGGACGTGCGAGCTGGCCGGCGGCGGCTGCGCGGGGACGTGCGGAGAGGACGGCGGGCGGCCGCGCTGCTCCTGCCCCGAGGGCTCGGTGCTGGGCGCGGACGGGCGCGGGTGCCGCTCGCCCTGCGCGGGGGCGCCGTGCCAGCACCACTGCGTGGTGGCCGGCGGCTCCTTCGTGTGCATGTGCTCCGAAGGGTACCGGCTGGCGGCCGACGGCAGCAGCTGCGAGGACATCGACGACTGCGCCGCCGAGCCCGGGCCGTGCGAGCAGGAGTGCGTCAACACCAAGGGCGGCTTCGAGTGCCGCTGTCACAGCGGCTACACGATGGTGGACGGGCACTGCGAGCGGCTGTCGCCCTGCTTCGAGGCGCCGTGCGAGCAGCGCTGCGAGGAGCTGCCCTCCGGCTACCGCTGCGCCTGCCACCCCGGCTACGCCGTGCACCCGCTGGATGTCACCCGCTGCGTCCTGTACTGCAACGCCACCGAGTGCCCGGCYGTGTGCGACGACGGAGGGGCCTGCGAGTGTCCCGAGGGCTTCGTGCTGGACGACGAGGAGCTGTGCGTGGACATGGATGAATGCGACAGCGGTCACTGCGAGTTCAACTGCACCAACACCCCGGGCGGCTACCAGTGCCACTGTCCCCCCGGCTACCAGGTCCTGAACAACGAGTGCGCCCTGGAGGGAGATGGCGAGGAAACGTTCTCGGGGGATATGGAAACCGTCCCGCACACGCCCGTCCCCAGCCGACCCCCCCCGAAAGCGGAGCGGCTGCACCCCGGGGTGCTGGTGGGCATCGCCGCGGGTGCCCTCCTGAGCCTTTTGGCCCTGCTGGCTCTGGGATTGCACCTGGCCAGGAAGCGCTGCCGTTCCCACGGCTCCATGGATTACAAGTACAGCGGCCCCCAGGAGAAGGAGCTCGGACTTCAGCCGGTCCCCTCCGGACAGAAACCGTAGGGACAGCAGGCAGGACGGACAGTGGGAGGCGGAACTGGGTGACGTTTACTCCCCCCCCCCCCCCCCAGCTCCCCAGTTGGAATTTTTAATGATAATTAGAAAAAAAACTGTGAGCACCCCACTTTCCAAAGTATTCCCTTCTTCCCAGCCGGCTCTTGGAATGCTGGTGCCGGGGAAATGGGAAAGAAGAACACAGAGACGCTGCTCCATTCCTGCCTCCTTGGCGTTCAGCTTTCCTTTTCCAGAGCCGGTGGTCGGGAAAACCGCAAGGAAAAACCCAGGAGGGGCGGCTCCATGTGGAAATGACTCTAAATCTGTGGGATGAGGGCACGGTGTGACCAAGGCRGGGACTGTGGAAGGACTCTAGGATCCCAATCCTTCTCCTGGGAATTGTGTGCCGAGCTGRAGAGGATGGTTTTCCTGAGCTGGGAGTCTCCTGCTTTTCTTTGGGATGGGGTTGGTTTGTTTTGGGCTGAGGGGTGATGGAAGAAGGAGCCTCCCTGTTGTGGGAGGCACTTGTCACCTTAAGTCCCTGGTGACAGCAGGGACCCGGCTCAGTGTCACCGAGGAGGGGCTAAAATCCCTGATTCCTGTTCCCTGTCACTATTTTTTGCGCGATGTGGAGGTGAAATAGGGACACCAAGGCTGCCGGGGTGAGTTGTGTAGGAAAAGTTTGTGGTGCTGCGGAGCCACATCCAATTCCTTCCCTGATTTTCCACTGTTGTTGCCTCAAATTGTTGCTTTGGGGCTATTTTTATGACCCCTCCTGCCCACAGAGATTTCCCCTGTTTTCCCTCATCCAGGGCTGACTCTATCCCAAGGCAAAACATTCCCACGGGGCAGGATCCAGCGCGCTGCTCATTCCCAGCCACGGATTGAGGGGAATTCTGGAAAATGATCTGCTTCTCTAGTTCCATCATTCCCTGGGGAGCCAAGGGGGGGGTCTTGCTCCGACGGCTGTTGAGGCGAGAATGTCGGAGCCGGCGCTGACAGCTTTATGCCAGTGAAATATTATCCTGGAGCAGTGGAAGTTTTGGAAGCCTGGGATCAGAGCCGGGGGATTCTGTTCCCCACATCCGTCCTTCCCACACGATAAAATTCCTAGCATGCAGCATCCCTCCTGGAATGCTAAAGCTCCGCTGCAAATTCCCAGGAAAATCAAAATAGAGGCGTTGTAGGAGCTGTAGTTTTCCTAAGAGGTCATTATCCYGAAAGTCAGATAACTGAGGGTCGTGTCCATGCATCCCTCGGGATGGATTAAAATGAAACCACATGGAACGATGGCTGTAAATCTATGGATGTGTCAGGTTTATTTTAGGACAATTTGGCTGCAGTGGGAAGGATGGAGCTGTTTTGATTCTTCATAATTCTCCATGATTATCCAGAAATAGATATCAAAACATAAAGGTGTCACTTGGGAAAACATCCAAGGAAAAGGAAGGGGAAGGAAGGAGAAGAATTGAGAGTGGAAAGACCCTGATAAAAGGCATCATCCCGCCTGCAGGAYCTGCTTCCCATGGATCTTTCCTTTATCCCAAAGTTTGTTTTTCCTGGTCACCCTCGAGTGTCCCGTGGGAAGATTTTGCCACCACACCCCCAAAAACTCCTTCTCTCCCTCTTATCTCGAAGTCCCACTGCGGAGTTTTATCTTATCAAAAATTCATTCCGTGGCCTTATGGTGCTGGAGTCCTGAATTTCCGGCACTCCCTGTTTTATCCCCCCTCCTCGGCACATTTGTAAATTCTTATTTATTTATTGGACTTTTWCCCTGCGTGATGGAATTGTCAGTTTGAGATCCTGTGTGGACACCAATAAAGCTTTGCCAGTCTGGTTTAAAGGAGCTGCTCAGGGAATTTTCTTTCTCCCCTCCCCAAAAATTTCCTCCAGAAACCCAGGAAATTCAGGACACCACTGAGATGAAAACRCTCCCCGCTGGTCACTTCTCCAGTGGGATTAAAAGGGAAGGAATGAGCCATAAATAATGGACAACGCGGATAACATTCCAAGCACAAAGTTAACCCCCAAATAAACTGGAAGTGGCTCATTCCATGGGACTTCAGTACTGTTCCTCACCCCGGGGTATCAAGTTCACCAAAATTTGGTTCTCCTGGCTTTTCTTGTGGAAATTCCGTCCTGGGTGTGCTTAAATTCTGGGAATTTTTGGTGGTTTTTTTTTTTTGGGGGGGGGGGGAAGGTGTGTATGATGGGATCTGCTGAGGATGCAGCAGAGCTGATGGGCTTTGGGATTTTTCCCTGTCTCTCCCCGTCTCTTGGGAAGAAACGGGAATTTATTATTTATTAATCAGGAGGACCACGCGTTCCATAACACTGTCGCTCCCCATCCCCGAYGAAGGCTCCCGGGCGCCGGGATAACGGCAATAACCACTCAGYCCATGGAACTCACTCCATCCCAGGCCAGTCTTATGGCTTTTTATTTCGGAGAGCGGCCGTGCCGGGCCCTCTCCATCCGGGATCCCCTTTCACCCCTTTCAGAACTTCGGGATCCCCTAGAAGGGGGTGGTTTTGGGGAGGAGGGCCCCGGGGGCGCAGCAGGGCTGTGGCCGCAGCGGGTCCTGCGGGCAGGGCAGGGGCGGGCACACGCAKCCCTTGCCGTCGCCGCGGGGCGCAGCGCAGTAATCCAGGGGCTCCTCCTCGTCCTCGTCGTCGCTGCCGTCGCCGTCGCCGGCGCGGCAGCAGCACAGGCCGGAGTGGCGGCAGCGGCGCAGCACGCCGTGGAARGAGTGGCGGAAATTCTCGGAGAGCAATCCGTAGAGGATGGGGTTGGCGCAGCTGTTGGAGTAGCTGAGCAGCAGCGAGGCGTTGTGCGCGCTGGCGTCCAGCCGGCCGGGCAGCAGCAGGCTCAGCAGCTGCACCACGTAGAAGGGCAGCCAGCACACCACGAACGCGGCCACCACGGTGACCACCAGCCGCGTCAGCTTGCCCTCGGAGCGCCGCCGCTGCCGCCAGCCCACGCCCCGCGCCACCGCCCGCATCTTGGCCGCCAGCAGCAGGTAGCACAGCGCCATGGCCGCCACGGGCAGCAGGAAGCCCAGCACGCTGCTGTACGCCACGAAGGCGGCCGCCCACGCCGGGCTGGGCCACAGCAGGTCGCAGGCCACCGCCCGGCCGTCGCGGGTGACCGCCGTGCCGGCGAACACCGGGATGGGCGAGGCCGCCAGCAGGGCCAGCAGCCACACGGCGCCGTTGACCAGCTTGGCCACTCGCGGGCGGCGGTAGGAGGCGGCGCGCAGCGGGTGCACCACGGCGATGTAGCGGTCCAGGCTGAGCACGGCCAGGCAGAAGACGCTGCCGAACATGTTGAGGCCGTCCACGCCCAGCACGGTCCGGCAGAGCGCCCGGCCGAAGGGCCAGCGCCGCAGCGCCGCCGCCGTGGCCGCGAAGGGCACGCTGAGCATCAGCAGCTCGTCGGCGATGGCCAGGTTGAGCAGGTAGATGTTGGTGGCCGTCCTCATCTTGGCGTAGCGCAGGATGACGAAGATGACGAGCGCGTTGCCCAGCAGCCCCAGCAGGCACACCAGCCCGTAGGTGAACTGCAGAGCCACCATGCCCGCGATCTCCGCCGCGTTGCCGCCGCGCTCCGGGGCCGCCGGGGACCGGCCCGCCTCGCTGCTGTTGGCGGGCGGCTCGGAGCTGGCCCAGCTGGAGACGCTCCAGAGGGGGACTCCGCTCGCCAGGAGCTGCTCGGCCTCCGTGCTCATGGCGGGAGGTGATCCATGGACGGGAGGGCGCCGGGAATGGRAGCGGCCTGCGGGCAGGGCACAGGGGTGAGAGAACGGCGTGAGAGCTGYGACGCTTGGGAATCCCGGTCCCCGCATTGCCCTTGGATCGGGAACCTCCATCCGCCACCCCCCGACTCCCTCAGTCAACTCCTTCCCTGCCTGGACACCTCCACGTCATTCCCGAGGGCAGCAGCATCCYACTTTTTTTGGATCTCACGGGCTGTGGGATGGGCATTAGCCCTGCGTGGGGCTCTTCAAACCAGGTGGGATGGCCTGGGAATCAATCCAAATTTGACCTGAGAATCAATCCCCATTTATCTTGGGATTTAATCCCAAMCTGGCCTGCGAATCAATCCCAACAGGCCCCGGGAATCAATCCCAACACGGCCTGGGAATCAACGCCATGCACCTTAAGGAGGGTTAATCCCAGGATTTGATTCACTCCGATAAGGAGAAACCGAGCCGGGAATATTTTACCTCTCAGTATTCCAGGGATTGAAGGAGCCTCACGCCCTCCTCCCAGGGAGAAGCAGCCGATCCTGTGGGAAGATGCTCCGGTGGGATCCGTCACCAACGGAAAGTCCTGGTTGACCTGGATCAGATGACCGGGAAGATCCGGACCTTTTAAAGTGAAAGACAGAGCAGGGATGTACGCGCGGGATCTTCTCCCTCTCCCGCATCCCTACACCGTAGGCATCATCTTTCCATGAAAAAAGAAACGCGGCGCAACTTTCTGCTCCAGGATTTCCGCTGGAAAACACCGCAGTGCTCTCCGCCCTCCTCCCGCCGGGCTGCGCTGTCCTGCGGCTCCCGTCTGGAGCATTCCCGCTCCAGCGGCTCCTTCCCGGCGCTGCGGAGGGCGGGATCCGCAGCCCAATTCCCCCCTCCGACCCCCCCGCATCCCGAATCCCGCATCCCGAATCCCGCACCCCGCCCTCGCATCCCCCCGCGGCTCGGGGGCTAGGCAGGAGATGGAAGAGGAATGGTTGCCTCGGCAACGCATCCCTCATTCCTGCCGCGCATTCCCGCCTTCCCTGCGCTCATTCCCAGCGCTGCAGGGCCCCCGGCTCCTTCCCGCTGCATCCCCATCCCTGCGGCACCTCATCCTGGGATTCTGGGCATGGAGAGGTGAGGGCCAGTCCAGCCTAGCCCCACATCCAAATCCACTGGGAATTTCAACCGAAATCGGAGTCTCTGCTGGAGTTGGGGGTGCAAGGARTAAAAATGGGAGGAAATTCCATCTGGTTTTGGATGAGAGGGGTCCAGGGAATCTTTGTGCTAAGAAATCCCTGACAGCAGCTCAGCCCAGGTCATGGAATCATAGAATCATAGAATTATGGAATCAAAGAGTAATGGAATCATGGAATCATGGAATCATTGATGTTGGAAAAGCCCTCTAAGATTATGGAATCYAGTGTTATTCCAGCATTCCCAAGGCCACCCCTGATCCATATCCCCAAGTGCCGCACCCACATGGTTTTAAAACCCTCCTGGAACAGGGATTCCACCTTTGCCCTGGGAGAGAAATTTTCCCTATATCCAACCTAAATCTCCCCTAAGACCATTCTCTCTTATCCTGTCTTTTATTCCCTGGGAGCAGAACCCAATCCCTACCTTATTCCTGTCAGGGAGTTGTAGGGAATGGGATCCCCCCTGATCCTCCTTTTTTTCCCCCCAACATTCCCARCTCCTTCAGCTGCTCCTCATCTGATTTATCCCAACCTGGGCCAGGAAATGATGGAGCAAACTTGTCTCAGTCATCCTAAAATCACAGCATTGGGAAATTTTGTGGGAATTTGGAGCTGGGTGGATAAGTCCATCTGGGACCTGATTGCTGGGATRGGAATAGGAATAAACATCCACATGATATCCCTGGGAATGGGCTTGGAAATCCTGGGAAAACAGGTGGAATTTTTCCTCGCTGCGTAAATCTGTGACCATGGTTAATGGTGCAGCTGGCACAGATCCCGCTGGGAATATCTGTGATCCAGGGAATGCTGGCACCCCATCTCCGCCCCCACCTCCCCAATTCCATGGGGTGTTCCAGTGGGATAAAGGACACTGGGATCCCGTTGTGCTGACACRGAAATTCCCGGATGCCAGCTCAGGAGCTCCGGGCGTTCCCCGGAGACCGGAAAACATGGAATTAAACAATGGAAGCAGCCGCAGATTCYATGGGCCCCCTCCACCTCCTGGAGGCTCCTTTACTGTAGAGGARGAAACTCCTTCATGGGTTTGAGCCACACTGTGATCCCAGGATTCCATGGAAAAGTGCTGAGTTGGGAGGAGCACGAATAACTTTGGATCTGGGGGCACAATTCCAGGGGTTGGAGCCTCGCTGTGGGACCAGGACGCTCTGATTAGGAATCTTCGACTTTCTTTCCATTCCATGAACATCCATAAAATCCTGGGATATCCCCAATAGGAAGGGACCCACATGGAGTCCAACTCCAAAAAATCTTGGGATTCTCCCACCCCCAGGAGCTACCCCAGATCCCAGCCTCAGAGCCTGTTCTGTTGCTGAGGGAAAAGCAGGATTTGCTCGGTGMATCCCAAGGAATCTGTGGCTCCTGGGATCAGTAGTCATGGGATTTTAASATCAGGGGTTTGTAGGAAGCCTCCAAATCACGGAATTCCAAGGAAACAGTCCTGGGATTTAGTGGGATATGGTTTTCCCAGTGTCCAAGGGAATTGTTTAACTATCCTTATCCTGGAATCCAGCTAATTTTCCTCTTTATTCCCATTATCCTTGTCCAGGGAACCCTGTCCTGCTTCCCTCCCCCAGGACTGGATCCCAAATCCACACCAAGGAGTTGGATAAAGTGGGAAAAAAGGAAAGGAACCTGTGAATGCTGGGAATTAAAAAAAACCTAAATGGGGTCCCGTTCCCCTTTCCCAGGTAAATCCCCCATGGAATCCCTGCACACAGGGCTTTTCCACCCCTTGGATCTTCCCTGAGCCCCCCAAAATCCCGGAATTCCACACAGTCCCGGAATAATTTGGAAGGGATCTTAAAGGACACCGAGTTCCAGCCCCATTTCCATGARCTGCTCCCAAATTTCCCCGCCTGCACCCCCCGCTGCTTCCTGATTTTCCTGAGGAAAGCCCGAAACATGGAGATTTGCTGCCCTCTCCTGGGAGCCGCCAAATCCCGGGATTTGRGATGCTTGGGGGCGTTAGATCCTTGTCCTTTGGAATTTTAAACGCTGACTAAAATCTCCAAGTCRTTCCCAGGAAGGACAAGAAGTGTGGCAATAGGATCCTTCCCAAATTCCAGACAAGTCAATTTTGAATCTTTTTTTTCCTCCTAAATCCCAWTTTTTTGGGGGCAAATGTGAGAAAACCTGGATTAGGAGCGGGTTCTTGGCTAAAATCTGACTTTGTTTTCCAGGAAAAAGACTTGAAACATCCCAGACTTTTCCCCCTCCTATCTTGGAGCTTTCTGCTGCCTCCTGGGGAAAAAAAAATCAGGATTTTTTTGGGAAAGGAATTCCCAAACATTCCTGTGTAGTTTATAAATACATTGGAGAAATGTTTTGGGAGAATCCCTGGATGAATAATAAGGGAAAAAATGGGGATTTATTCTTTTCAGGAATTTATAAAGTGGATTTCCTGAAAAAGTAAAGAAAGCCTGGAATTTCARTGGTGTTTGGATCCTGGATGTCACTTTCATGGATTCATGGCTGCACCTCAGGGTGTTTTCTCCCTGGAAAACCTGGATTCCCTGTAAAAMCCTTCGTTTCCCCTTCCCGGTGGAGAGGACACGGCGTTATCCCAGCGGGAAGTGGAGCCGGAGGTCAGGGCCTTATTCCCGATGCCAGGTGGGAGCTGGGATGTGTTTATCCAGTCTGGGATCCACACTGGAGTTCCTTATTCCCATCCTGGCGCTTTTCCCGGGAGCTCCTGGGCTCTGGCAGCTGCTGCCACATTCCAGACCCCGCTCAATGCTCCTGTGTCTGCTCCTCCAGAAAATTCCCACTGGGATAGGGGAGTGGGATGCAGAGATGGGGGATAACCATGGTGTCCCAGAGCTCGGGGATTTCGGGATTGTGGAGTGGGAGATCTGGGGCTCATCCGGCTTTGGGACGTGTCCAAGGAATGTGGGAGCCAGGAAAGCTCCAGCAGCTCTTCCTGGCCCTTCTCATGGAATGGATGTGGCATAGGCTGGATTTGGGATGCTCCAGCTGCATCCCGTCTTTCCCTGCCCAAATCCCAATGCTGAGTTCAGCCYTCATTCCTAAGCTTTGCTCCCATAGTGCTGGGGTTTGTCCTCAATTCCCAAATCCTGGCTTTCTTGGCAGAAAATTCCAGAAAAGTCCTCTGAGGAATCAGGGAAGAGGCAGAGGCAGCAGGAAGGGCCCCTCYTTAATCCTGGGAATTGGCAGGAATATTCTCACAGGAATATTCCTTAAAGGAAGATGCTTCCGTGCAAGAAACATGGATTCATCCCAGCTCCAGGAACAGGAAAGATTCTCTGAATTCCATATCATCCCAAACCAGACCAGCTTGGGAAACTGAGGATGGAGAAKGGAGGAATTCCATGAATTATCCATTGCCCTGCTCCAGTCTGATYCCAGCCACAAGGATCCTCAGCTCACAAGACATTTGGGGATGACAAGGCAATTCCCTCTGGCCCTTTTCCATAAATCTGCTGGAAAAAATTCCTCCCAGATTTGGACGGATGAGAAATCCCAATTAATATTTAAACAGCACCTGGAATTTGCCTAAATCCTGCTGGGTTCAATGGCAATGGATGAGCTCAGATTTCCMGTGTGGAAATGCTGAAGGAGCACTGGGAAGCAAATTTTGCAGGAATTTGTTTTGGGAATAAGATWTTGTTCTCCTTGGTGGGAGCTCTGTATCCCAAAACTGATGGAAAGGGAAAGAACTTGGAATAAGGAATAGAGGAAAGACAATGACAGCTCCACATGAAATSCCTGCATATTCCCAAGTTTCTCCCTCTGTGGTTGTGGTGCCTTTGCTTCGGGGACTTTTTTGGGAAGAGCAGGATGAAGCCAGGACAGAC